TACAGCTTAGATTTGCTTGACATGGTTATTTGAATTATACCAATTTATTATCTTCATTGGCAGCAAAATAAAAAGTCCAGGTCTTCTATATATTGTAAGTCAGGTTTTCTGGTAGCAATCTCAAATCTTGACTGTGAGCCACTTCTGCCGCTTTGCTAACCAGCCATTTAGAACATAAACTTCTGGATCAGAAAATTAAAGAATTCAAAGAAAAAGAAACAATATTTGGTTGAGTTGGCTTGGCTCTCCTTGCTTCTTTAGTATTCAAGTGGACAATTTGTACAATTTCCCTTGCTTTGATCTTAGCTGCCCACGCTACCAAGTTGCAGGCACAATTACTTGCCCATCTCGTCATTCACAGACTATGAAGGACATGTAAGAAACCTCACCCATTGTAAAACTTGCAGACTGAAAGTGCCTTACAGTTATTGCTGCTGCTGACTTGGGCCACATGAGAGGAGGCAGCTCCCGCCAGGTCTGCCCCCAAACCAACCATCCTGCCAAACCTCTCACTCTTACCATCGTCGTTTCCTGAATAGTGAAACTCCTCAATGCGTGTCCACTGGCATGCCTCTGGAAGAGCAGGAATATCCAGTCAGGAATTAATTAATAGGAAGAAGGCAAGACAGAGCCTTCTATTTAACTTGGAACTATGATAACCACGAAATGGCTCTGCATATTTTGTGAATCAGATTGCTGTCAAATCCATGTATGTTTTGACTCAGATACAGATACACTTCAGTGATTGTAATGTTCTTTGGTAAGAACTATTTGATGTTCAAAAACCTTGAAGCCATTCAGACCACTTTATTTCCCCCTTTCCAAATAGAAGTTTGCATTTTGTCCACCACAGAGAGACTGCAAATGCCAAAGAGCCCAAGTTCACTTTGAAAGTCCAAACCCACAAACTCTGATTGGCTTCTACACTTGGCCAGATGTATTCTCCAGGGCTCCAGACCTTATATCAGTGGGACACCATGATGTCATAATGAAGAGTGTGTACTGTGGGGCAGACTACCTGAATTCAGATCCCTCAACTATATCTTCAGATAAATTGCCCAATCTTTCTTAGTCTCAGTACTTCATCTTCCAAGGAGGCAGTAAGAATACCAACTTCCTTGTGATACTGTCTGTGGAGTATTTAGAAACCTGACACACCATAAGTAACTTATGAGAACATTGGGGAGAAGTAACTTTTTGGTAAGGTTTATTTGTATTTGTGTATTTCCTTTTCATGTTATTGAACTGAAATGATCTTTATTAATAAAATAGACTAAGTAGTTATGCAGTGTTACAGACTTGCAGTTTTTAAATCATTTTAAGATATCTTGAATAGATAATATACAACAATTTCTGCCAACATATTGCAATATTGCCACTCCTTATTTTCCTCTCTTTCTCTTTTATGCCTTAGCCCAAACTAAAGTCTTTTCCCATTTTCATTAAGCACAATTAATATTTCCACCTTATTTCTCTTGGTCCCTGTACCCCTGAGTGCATATCAAGTACATTTGACATTTTCATTTGATTTTAAAAATATTTTCTTGAGAGAATGCGCTAATTGTCATCAGAGGTTAAAGGGAATAGGAATGGAATTTGCAAAGACAAGAAGGCAAGAGGGAAGAAGGACTAAGTGGTCCAGAGATGTCAAAAAGTATGAACTAGAAAATTCAACTGTGATAATTCCTGTAAAATTTTAAAAAAATTAAAAAAAAGAAAAGAAAAAGGGCGGAGGAATCAAATTTACCTAACAACGAAGTGCTAATAAACTAGGGGCAGAGGTTTTTTTTGTTTTGTTTTGTTTTGTTTTTTACAAATAGTTTATTGTCGAATTAGTTTCCACATAACACTCAGTGCTCATCCCCACAAGTGCCCTCCTCCATGCCCATCCCTCCTCCCCCCCCATATCCATCAGTCCTCAGTTTTNAATTAGTTTCCACATAACACTCAGTGCTCATCCCCACAAGTGCCCTCCTCCATGCCCATCCCTCCTCCCCCCCCATATCCATCAGTCCTCAGTTTTTGTCAGCATTCGAGAGTCTCTCAGTTTGCCTCTCTCCCTTTCTCCCACCATTTCCCCCCTACTTCTCCCCCTTGTTCCTCCGTCAAGTTCCTCCTAATCCTCCTATACGTGCAATCATATGTTATGCTGAGCGAAATAAGTCAGGCAGAGAAGGACAAATAGGGGCAGAGTTTTAATAGCATTCAGATAGATTCCAATGATAAATGAGTTGTGTAATGATGGAGGCTTTTGTGAGAAAATCAGAGTGAAGGCTCAAGAATTGAATTGCAGGGTTGCTGCATTTGAGTAAGGGTCATTGGGTGAGCATTGGATGCTTTATTTAATTCACAGGAATATTAAAGTATGTGCTTCATGGTTGACCCTTACTATGTCATATGAATGAACACAAGAATAAGTAAATAAATTAATGAATAAATTAAATGCTATAACCAAAAAGATGTAGAAAGCAAAACATAATTGCATTTATATTTGTATTCCAAATATAGAACTATACTAGTAGAATGTTCTGAGACCTGCACTGTTATAATAAAAACTGCATAACTGACAGGTTAGTATCTTGGATCTTCCCAAATGCAAAACAAACCAAATAGATTACTTTTTTCCAGACTCGACTTGTGAGAGAAGGAGACAAGTATAATAGTGAACGGGCTCAATATATTGTTGCTACCTTTTCATCCCCGGAGATGATGGACAATCTATAGGGGCAGAAGCTGTAGAGAAGGCAAAAGACCAATTTCCAATGATGACTCAGGAGAAAGGGTCACTACCCCAGTAGAAATCAGCAAGGTGAATGTAGCTCAGGAATGTCATATCTCATGGCAGCAAAGCTTTCATCTAGGAAATCATTAGCACCCAGATTGTTATTAAGCAAAAGGCATTTGCTTACTAAGAGGTGGCCTCCTAGAAAGTGTCCCTCACATGAATTCATTTACCTCTACTTTGTTATCCGCAAAGCCCTGGACAGTAAGAAGCAGATGATGTCTCCTATAACAAGTCCTTCATTTTCTCAGGCAGAGAAAGACAGATACCATATGTTTTCACTCATATATGGATCAGGAGAAACTTAACAGAGGACCATAGGGGAAGGGAAGAGGGAAAATAGTTAAGGAGAGGGAGGGAGGCAAACCACAAGAGGCTCTTAAATACTGAGAACAAACTGAGGGTTGATGGGGTTTGGAGAAGAGGGGAAAATGGGTGATGGGCACTTGTTGGGATGAGCACTGGGTGTTAAGTGGAAAGCAACTTGACAATAAACTATATTAAAAAAAAAACAAGTCCTTAATTTTCAACCATTTCTCTATTGATGCAAATTTGATTGTAATTTTGAAGGCAATAAACTCCAGATTGTTGCAGGTTGGGTTCCCCCAAAGGAGATTGTGAGATGGAGATTCATGTATAAGACACTCATTGGGAAGCACTCTGGTGATGAATACTAGTAGATGGGAGGGGAGGGAAGCAGAGCTGGGCAGACAAAGAAGTTGAGATGTGATGCAGTTTTTTTGTTGTTGTTTTTTGTTTTATTTTTATTTATTTCTAGGAGAGAGAGAGAGAGACAGAGAGAGACAGCGTGAGCAGGGGAGGGTCAGAGAGAGAGGGAGATACAGATTCTGAAATAGGCTTCAGGCTCTGAGCTGGCAGTCAGCACAGAGCCCGACGCCGGGCTCGAACCCACGAACCGAGAGATCATGACCTAAGCGAAAGTCGGATGCTTAACCAACTAAGCCACCCAGGCGCCCCGAGATGTGATGCAGTTTTACTAAAGACCTCTGCAGACCCCTTGGGAGTTCTAGAACTGGGATGACATTTTAGACTTGGGACAATGTGGCTGGACTTTTATATCCCTGCATGGATTCAGATAGAATGAGGACACTGGATAGTGGCTTCCCCTTAAAATAGAGGTGACCTTAGGCAAAGCAGTGTCCTTCAGCTGAGACAGTCCTCCAAGAGGGCTGACAGCACAGAGCCATCTTCAGGCAGTATTCCCAGCAGCTAGGAAGATAAATCTCATGTTTTTGCAGGGGAATCTGGCAGCATGCCACACAGGTAGGCTTTATGTATTTGTCATGGTTTCCTTGTGAGATCAAAGTAAGTGAAACATAAGAACAATAAAAGTAATTTATTTCATAAGTATAGACATAAGTATAGATATAGATATGCACATGGATATAGATATAGGTATAGATAGTATCTCCTAGACAGAGCAGAGGAGTGGAAGAAGGAGATTGTCTAATGTAGGCATCTGGGAAATCTTCCCTGATTCAGCATCAGCTGAGCACTTAAAGATAAGTAGGAATAAATCAGAGAAAGGTGGGAATGCAGGGGGAGGGGACTTCTGAAGAGCATGCTAAGTGTAAGGAAGTGTGTACAAAAGACCTGAGGTAGGAAAGAGCAGAGGAAGGTGAGGTTTACAGACTTCTTCCTTTAGTTTAGTCCTTTCGTTTCATGAGGCTCAACAAGTAAAGAGCATAAATGGCACTATGGCCTATGGGTTGTCTTCAGTATTTCCTTTAATTTTGACGGAGTCATTATCGAAGACCTTTTTATTTTAAAGTCTTACAGATTGGGAAGCTAACACAGAGGCAGCTGCTTCTGCATGTGATTTTGTTTAGAGACTGTAGGAAAAATGCTGTATCCCATACTGTCTGAAAGTGACCTCCTGTCAATTTATCAGATCACCTAAAATTCATTTGGTGGGCTTTTGATGACCTCTTGGTTTTATAGGAAGTCATCATTTAAAAGGCAGATATCCTGAGCAGCATAATAATTGAGCAGGGGCTTAATTTTTATTGCAGATGATCTAACAGAAAGAACCTGGACCTCCTAAAAACGGAATACAGAGACCCCTGGAAGGAGGGAAGAAGAAGGAGTAGGAGAAGGAGAAGGAGAAGGAGAAGAAGGAGAAGGAGGAGAAGGAGAAGGAGGAGAAGGAGAAGGAGGAGAAGGAGAAGGAGAAAGAAGAAGGAGAAGGAGAAGGAGAAGGAGGAGAAGAAGAAGAAGGAGAAGGAGAAGAAGGGAACCAAAGCCTCAGAGAGGGGATGAAAGGTATAAAAGAAAATTTTTATGTAATTGATAATCTAGCCTCAGGACTATCTTACTTACAAGGGCAATTTACTAGTGTTGATTCTCAAGTAGTTTACCTGAAGAATTTTCCCCCACTGGTTCTCCCAGATCTTGTATTAAGAGCACTAGTAAGGAGGGAGGGTGTGTGTGAGAAAGTATGCAGGCTCTTTATGGGTGAACTTCACAATCCTGTTCCTCAGACAGCTTGCACACATGTCATTGTATGAACCATGATGCTAAGATTTGTAGTGCAATGACAGGAATGCACACCATTTCCTGTCTTTACTTCTTGAAAAAGGCTAAAGAGGAACCTGCAAGCAAACAGCAAGCTTTTGTCCTCTCTTCTTTAGCCTCTGGAACTGATGAAAGTGGATGATCCAGGCACTCCACCCTCCCTCACTGCCTACCTCACAGCAACTCAAAGTCTCTTGTGCCTGTTGCCCTTGATATACTCTATGATTCTTCCATCAACTCAGAATCTATATTTTGAAAGTAATTCATATATTGTTTATAATATGTATGATGCATTTTAGCATTTAAATACTTTGGAACATTGGTAATGGGTGAAAAAGATTTGACGGTGAGGATCCAGATCAGTTGCTATATTTTACATACTATGAACATAATTCCCCTCTTAGGTGTCTGCTTACTTCAGGTCTGGTTTTAGATCTTTGCTTGACTGTGGTTTTGAAACTGAACTCTGTTCATAGGAAATCTGTTTCACTACAATCTGGTCTCTCTGGGTCTCAGTTTCATGATCTGTGACCCAGTGAACCAAAAGAAAGATAATTGTGACAGCTTGTCTATTTCAGCTTGAACATATTATGGTTCTTTGTTCTATATGATGGTAGTTCTATCACTGGTCGTCAGTACTTGTTGGAGTATTTTAGTAAAAGTTTGATTCTATGCTGTTTGAAGCTGTTCAATGAATCTTTTCCACTACCCTGCAGCCTGTAGGGACTGATGCACTGAAAATAGTATCTATTCGTTGCAATAGCCTAGGAAGTCCTGTGGTAGTTGAAATGCCACTCACCTTCTCAGCTCTGAGAAGAGCTACTTACATTTACTATTTTTCTTCGAAATAGCAAAGAATGGTTCAGTGAGTCTGTGTCATTGTTCTGTGTCTTAGATGGATTAATGGGACAAAATAGACATGATGTAGAAGTGTTAGTAACTACCTGAACCATTTCACCCAGGGAGCAAAATGTAAGCTATGATAACAGACCATCATTGTTGGCACCATTGCCCGGTGTTTATTATGGTGATAATATTATGGGAGGCCCAAGGCTACACCAAAGAATCTGATAAACCATAGTATCCTTTCTACAAGTATTCATTTCTAAGAAAGAAAATTATTAGGTTTTGTGCCAAACATTGTGGTTTATAGCACAGTTTAAACCTTTCTTTAATCCCAAGAACAACTTTATCACATAAGTTTTATTATCAACCCTAATTCTGTAGGTGGGGAAATTGAGGCACAGAGAGCTTATATAGCTATTAAGTGGCAGAGCAAGTACTCAAGTCCAGATGTATATTTTTACTTAACAAATGTTGTTATCTCTATAAAACACTGCTTTCCAGGAATGGAAAGTAGCAAGAAAAATGAGAGACTCTGACTATTTTATATTGGTTGAAGGTTCTCCCCCTAGGGTCTTAAATTCTCCTACATTCCTATGTTGTGCCTGTCTTTGGAAAGTTTTGCTTCCACAGTCCCTGAAAAAGCCTTCAGGGTTAAGGGAAACCCAAGTAAGAAGTTATACATTTATCCTGAATTTTACTATAGCTATAAGTGAACTGGGGAGCCAAGGGAGTATGGAGCAGGATATCAGCAGCATCTGCTACAGACGTCTTTATGAACTGACAAGCAATTGATAGGTAGAGTACATAAGTGCCTTGCCCCATTCTGTACACCACTTGTATATATGTGATTGATTAATGATAGGACACTCTGGAGAAAGATAGCATAATGCAATAGGTACAACCATGGACTCTGGTATAGCTCTGGATTCTAATCATCTGTTATTTACTAACTGGGTTGACTTTGTCAAGTTATTTAACTTCTAAGTGCCTGTTCTTTCATATTTATATAATGAGGATGGTGATAATAAAGCTTACCTGAAGTATATTTGTGTCAAGTTAAAATGAGCTAATGTATGTAAAGCATTTACAACAGTGTCAATCCCAAAATAAGCACTCAAGCACTCTATTTCTAGTCATGTTGGAGATCTACATCACCTCCTAAATTTTACAAATGTGGAACAGAACTTTCAAAAATCTTCCTCATGATTTCTTTAAGTAGGAAGCTTTCTTTTACATTCTGCCATCAAACTCTACTCTCCCAGACCCAGAACTTCATATATATCTTAATATGTGATCTACCCAAATTGTGAATAGTCAAAGAATTCAAATTTTAAGGGGTACAGGTTTATGAAAGGGCATAATGACAGGAGGTTATGAAAAACAGAAAGAGCTGGTGTTGCCATAAACAGTTGGGATATTCTCAGAACTCCACATAAACAATACCCAGTATGGCATAGATTCCATTGGATAAAATATGATGATGATTATGGCATAGATTCCATTGGATAAAATATGATGATGATTACTACTGATGGCACTATGCTAAATGTGCTATACATATTATCTCATTTAGTCTTTATATCAAATCTGTGGGGTAGCTATTACCAGCTCAGTTCTTCAGATGAAGAAGAATCAGAATCAGAGAGTTGAAACCACTTGCTCAGGATCCCACAACTGGTAATTTGTGGGGCTGGGAGTCTGACACCAGTGCATGTTTTTTAACCACTATATGCAATTGAAACACTGCAATAGCATAAATGTTATTCTCCACTGACATCACTTAAGGCTGATGCTCAGAATAGCCTCAGAATTGAAGCTTGTGTTAAGTCCTGCTTTATTACTTGTGGCTTTGGGCATCACTTAATCTTTCTGAACTCATGTATTCTATGAAAGAGGAATAATGGTATTTACTCCATAGCATTATTTAGAGGATCTTGTGAAATTATACAAGTGCTTTATAATTAAGCACTATATAAATTTGATCATGTAAAAGGATAAACATTTTAAAATGAGACGCTAAGAGTCCATATGAATGAGAGTAGTAACAGAGGGGTTTAGATTTTAAATTATTTCATAATTAACTTTATACTTACATATTTCAGAATTTCTAATTAATATTCTTTCTCCTTCTCTTCCATTCTTATTAATTCGACTCACAAGCCAGGGTTAAATACTTACTGCATAAGACATGTTTTATGAGTTGGGAATATAGAGATGAAAGTAGCATAGTATCTACATCTGGTTTTGCTTGCTCTTTTCTCTCTGTCTTTTCTTTATTTCCCTTTCTTTCTCTCTCTTCCTTCTTTCTCCTTTCTTTCCCTCCCTCCCTCTTTTCTTCCTTAGTATTCTCCCTCCCTCTCTCTCCCTCCTTCCCTTCATTCCTTCGTTCCTTCATTCTTTCCTTCTTTCCTTCCTTCCTTCTTCCATCTTAGATTCTACTCTATCTTAACTGACGAAAAAAAAAAAAACTCACCACTTTTGTTTGCCGTCTGTTCATTATTTAGAAATAGTCTGAATGCTTTTAAGTTAGTTTGTATGTCAAGACTCTCTGAAGACATGCTCATTTATAGATACCTCTGTCAGCAAATTAGGGCTTCATAGTACTGTGAAACATTAAGGTCTTTAAAACCATTAAGATTGTTAGCTTTGGCGCAGATAAGCAGAATAAACAAATCGCTTTCCAAGTGGGGACTACTTGTGCTGTCTTTGTTGACTTTTGAAGCTCAAGGATGTCATAAGTCTCAAAAAAAAAAAAAATGCTTATCCTCCAAGCTGAGAACTTTCTAATAGGCCTCATTGTTTTCTGTCTAGTGTTTCTCACAGGTGCGGATAACATAATGTTTCTATGTTGGCTGTGAATAGCCTTTAATGGTTTTCTGATTTGTGTTAATCTTTCCACTTACATATAATTAGTTGTCTACCTACCCATCTCTTGGCTCACCACTGGCTATGATAGACAAGACACACAATAAGAGTCTTCACTCCTGAGTACAAAATCAGTATATTAGTGCAAACAGAACTTAGAAATGTATTTTTACATTTTGAGCTGAAAATTATGGGTTTTCATGTTAATTCACTAGTTTGATTCCTTTCTCTAACCTTGTGGTTCTTAAGAAGTAATTTTGCCCCCATAGGACATTCAGCAATATCTGGACCCATTTTTGGTTGTTTTAACTCCTCTAATTGTTTGCCATCTACTAAATAGAGGCCCCAGGGATGCTGCTTAATATTTTACAATGGACAGGGCAGTCCTCTATAAAGAATTATCTGACCCCACATATCTATAGTACCAAGGTTGAGAAACTGCAAGTCTAACCTCATTTTTTTTTACATATTAATATTTATTATATTTGAAAGATTGACTACCCATCAGCAGTAGACAGAGCCACGAATACACACGTATAAGAAAGCAATAGCTACAGCAAGATTGAGCGAATCCTGAACACTTTTATCCTACTTGATCCTGTCCTGCTTCTTGAAGTGCGGACTTTAACCTTTGACTCTGTGTCTCAATATTTTCTGTCTTGCTTTTAACTTACATCGGTGATTCTCTCTCACCAGTAACACTTCTGTGTTAACTGTAACTTGAATTTTCATAGGGGAGTGTAACCTCATTCTTCTTTGAAAAGTTTGGGAGATATAACTGCATTTTTTAAGGTTAGTTCTGCTGGCCATAATCTTAGATTTCCCAGTGTCAAGATAAACATAATCTTAAGCAAAGTAGAGGAACCAACAGTGCCTCATTCAATAGATCTTATTATTCTGAAATGAAGCAATCAGCATTTTTACTTCCTTGGACTAATTTGAAAGTCTCTCTTGCTTTATCTTAAGTGTTGTTTGTGTATATGTGTGTGTGTAGGGATGGGAAGGGACACCATAATCTTTTCAGTGTTTAAGATCTC